CCTCCACACACACACCTCTGTTCTAATTACAGCTGGAGAGGGGGGGAAACATCCTACACACCGCTGCTGATCACACCCTCACCAATTAACACCCCCTAATTAACGACTCCCCCAACCCCCATTCACCCACAGCCCCACATTGCACTGCCAAGCTCCCCCCCCCATCCCCCCAGGCTCAGCCTTTGCTCGGACTGAAGGGAAATGGACCAGAGAAGATGAAGGTTCCTCTCTCTCCGCTCCGATCACTGCTAAAGGAATCATCACAACCTTCCTCCCCCCCCAGCCCCCCCCCATTTATTTTCTCTTCCCCCGATTGCTGTTGCAAAAGAAAAAAATAATTGTGGAAATGAGCAATGAGAGCCCAGCCTGCGGGGATGATGGGCTGCAATGAGCCTGGAGAGGGCCCTGTGGTGGGGTGGAGGGCTGTTTAAGGGGGGGGGGGGGGGGGAGGATGGATGAATTTCCCTGCTCATATTAATGCCCCCCCTGTCCAACCGGTAGTTTTCCACTGTTAGGGTGCTGCAGGTGGGAGCTAAAGGGGGAGGACCCCCATATGCACCCTTGCACATGGACTGGGGGGAATGAAAAAGAGTCTCAAGGAGGGGGCAGGGTTGCAGGGGTTGCAGCTGTGGGGGGGGCATTTCTTCCAATGGGGGGGGGGGCTCAGAGCTGGGAGTAGGGCTGCAGCTGCGACACCTGTGGGGCTGAATGGGCCTTTGCTGCTTCGGGGGGGTTGCATGGGATGGCTGTGCCCCCCCCAGGACCAACACATCCCACCCCTCTCCATGTTCCCCTGCACCCTCAGGGCAACACTGGGCAGCAGTGAGGTGCACTGAGACCCCCCTCATTGGGTGCAACCCCCCTCTCCCCCCCAGGGACAGACAGCCCCCTGCTGTGCACCAGCCTTCACGTTAGCCCCATATCACTGTGTGTGTGTGGGGGGGGGGGGGGTAGAGGACAAGGGGGGGGTTGGTCGTGGGGGGCTGCAATGCAATTTATGATCCCTCTGATAAGATCTGATAAAATTTCCCGGGCTCTCTGGAAATTACATTTCCATAACTGTGAGCGGCGGCGCTGCCTGCCTTTATGGCGGCGTTTATTGCAATAATAAACTGCAACAGGGAGCTGGGGGGGGGGTGAAAGGGGCTGTGGGTGTGGGATTGGGACCCCCTGCATTGGGGTATGAAGGGGGTGATGCCTCCTCTTTGCACTCTGCCTCCCCCCCCAAATCCATCTCCCCATAGCTGTGGGGAAACTGAGGCACAACCATAATGGGGGGCACTGGGAAGTGGGGGGGCACTTGGCCTCAGTCCCCCCTACCAGATGAGCTCTGTGCCCATTGGGCAGCATTGGGACTATGTGTGGGAGGGGTCCATGGTGTATTTACCCCACAAACATGGGTGCCCACAGCCCCCCTCCCTCCCTTCCCCCCCACCCGCTCTGTTATCTCTCTGCTTCTCCTGTCCCTTTTCCCGGAGCCCAATGAGTCACACAGCCCCTCTCCTTCCTCTCCTCCCCTCTATTGTACGTTTCCCTTTGCTCTCAGCCACACTTTTCCTTCTCCCATCTTCCCTTTGGGGGGGGGCACATCTCTTCCTGTGTGCAACCCCCCCCTATCCAAATCACAGCAAAGCTGCAAAAATGGGAAAGCCAGAAAGAAATATGTGGGGAAAGAGGAGCAGGAGGGAAAAAATAATATATATTAAAAAAAAAAAAAAAAAAGGAAAAAAAAAAAGAAAGAGTCCTTTTGGGCGATGAAATATTTATCAGTGTGTGTGCAGGGCGTGCTAACAGCGAGCTGGGGGGGACAGAGCTGAGCCCCCCCCTCCAGCCACAACAATGGGGTGGTTGGGTGTGAGATGAGGTCCTATGGGATGCAGAGTGAGCTGGAAGCAGAGCTGCTGCCATTCAGGGGGGCTCGAAGGGGGAGATATGTGGAGGGGGGTGAGCCAGTATCATCGTCAGCCCCTCCTTGCAACCAGCAATGCATGAACATGTGCACAGCTGAGCTGCAGCCGGGAGCACAGCAGCGTGCAGTGAGGAGCAGCGTTGCCTCACAGGGCACGGCAGTACTCCGTGTGCTCACTTTGCACGGGGGTTTTGCACACCAGCAGCATTTGCTGCACTCATTCAAGCCCCCCCTGCAGTTGCACGCAGTTGCAGGGAGCTGCCTGACTGCACACCTGTTGCAGCTGCACATGCATAGCTGTGCACGTTGCACATCGCAAGTTGCACACCTTGCACTCTGCATTGGGCACGTTGCGTGTTCGTTGCGCATCGTTGTGCATCGTGCACGTCATCGTGCATTGCACGTTGCTGCGCCGCATCACCCCGCCACCGCTGCATTAGCACCCAAGCTGCGCCCACGAGATAAATGGGAGCTGTCAGCTGCACCTTGTTTGCTGCTAACCTTTGGAAATGCCACACCGCCCCAGGCTGCACCCGCAGGGATTGTCGCTCAGCACCTCCAATTAATCTCCCAGCGCTAACGAAGGCAGTGGGGTGACAGGACCCCCCCCCCCAATCCCCCGTGATCGCAGCGGTGCTGTGGGGTGGGCTGTGCTATGGGGAGGTTTGGGGGTGCTCCTCTCCCCATGGATCCCGCAGCCCCCGGCACCAAGGTGACCGCAGCTCTCCGGGGAGCAGTGCTCGGCTTTGCTGCTAAATGGGATGTGAGCAGCCATCAGGGCTGCTGCTGCTAAATGAAATTGGTGTCGGCACCCGGAGAGCTCCTGGTCCCTCTGCTGTCACCCCCAGAATCTCCCCCCCAGCCCCCCTATAGCTCTGTACTTTGCACACGTGTGTGGCCCTGCAGTGCACGTGGAGCTGCAGAACAGCGGCACAGTGCTGCCCTGGGTATGGACACACACGAGTGTGCAATGGTGACAGCTGACCCAGAGCCATGCATTGCACCCGGCACACACCCACAGGCTCTCTTTCCTCCGCATGCACCCTGCTGCACACGTAAGTGCTTGTGCTGCACCCTGGCCCCCATAGAACAGCAGCATTAGTACTGCACGTGAGGTGCTGCAGGAGCTGCCCTGCATGCTGACGGGTGCAGGGGGGGGGTGACCTTGGTTGGCTGCTGCTGGGGGATTTGCTCACCGTGCCCCTTCCCTGTCACCACCCCAAACCTGAAGGCTCTCAGCTTTGCCCCTCCTGGGGGGGGTTGGGGCTGTGGGAGGGAGGGGAACATGCTGTTCTCGCACTCTGATCGATCGGCCCGGTGTGTTGGATGGCACAGCGCTGCTCTGCAATTCCCTTTCATCGCCCTCCTCCCCCGACATCATGAGGGAATAAAGGGTTGGGGGGAGCTGCTGGCCTGACCCCCCCCCATCCCCTAAGACAGCTGGAGGGGCTGTGGGGTGATCTGAGGGCCCAGCATTTGTGCAACCCAACCACATCCCCATTCCCAGTGCATCTCCATCACACCCCACTCCAAACCTGACCCCATTAACTCCCCACCCCTGACCCCACTGCCCCCCACCCCTGACCCCATTGCATCACATCGTCCCCCATCACCACCAATAGGAACCCAATGTGGGGGTGCTGTAGAGGATTGGAAGTGGAAACAGATGAAGGGCAGAGGGCCTGGGGATGCTCCTTCCCATGTCCCTCTCTGCTGCTCAGGGCCATCCATCCCCACCGTGGGGCTCTGCCCCCCCATCTCCCCCACCCCCCTGTGCTCATTTTGCAACGATTCTGTCACCATCCCCACAGTGGGACACAGCGGCTCCCAGTGCTGATGCATATAAATGGGGCTGAATGATGGAATGCAGCCCGAGGAGGGGGACACGGCCCCCCCTGGAACGGCTGTTGGTGGTTTGGGGGCCGCCCTCCCCCTCTCCCCTATTCCCTCTCCATCTCCCTGCCCGTTCCTCCCCCCCTCCCCTCCTGGTGGTGAAGGCACCCGGCTTTGAAGCTGCGCTGAAATATAGATAAGGGCGAAGGAAGCAGTGGAGCTCAGAGAGATGGGAGCGGGCGTGGGGGGACGGCAGGGCTGAGGGGGGTCTGTTGGGGCTGCAAGGTGTTGCATGGTGTGGGGCTGAGTCTTGCAGCCCCCATACAGTACCTGCTGGGCTCAGACCCCACAGACTCATCACCTGCACTGGCACTGAGTGGGGCCGTGTGCCCCTTTCATGGGGTCGGATGGGGATGCAGCTCAGGGTGTGCTGTGCCGTGCCATGCTGTGCTGTGCTGTGCCATGCTGTGCTGTTTTGAGCTGTGCCATGCTGTGCTGCGCCATGTTGTGCTGTGCCATGCCATGCCGAGCTGTGCTGTTGTGAGCTGTCCATGCTGTGCCATACTGTGCTTCTGTTGTGCCATGCCGTGCTGTGCTGTACCGTGCCATGGCTGTGCCTTGCCGTGGTTGTGCCATGCCATGCCATGCCATCTGCATCACTCTGCATGCACAGATGTCTCCCAGCACAGCTCAGCTCCACGGGCTGGGCGGGCGGGGGGGGTCGGTGTGCAATGCCTCCCCGATCCTGGAGCTCTGCCCCCCCCCGCGCATCCCCACCTCACTATCTGTCTTTGGCAGCGCCCGGCTCTTCTCTGACCCCGGGAACCCACCCAGCTGCTGCCTTCCCCCCCCCTCCCATTCCACCCCCCGGGATGATGCTCGGGGTCGCCCCCCCCCGCCTCTCCCCGCCCCTCCCGGCACCTGCAGCGCGCAGTGACAGTGATTGACGAGACCGAGCGGCCCCGCGCGCAACGGGAGCAGCTGGCGGGCAGCGGGGGCGCACAGCGCTGAGTCGGGGGGTCAGGGGGCTCAGCCCAGGGGAGGGGGGGGACTGGGGAGTGGTTTTTGTGTGTGTGGTGTCGGAGGGGGGGGGGGCGGTACAGATGCCACACGGCGTTCTGTTCGTCCCAGCACAATTTATTGGAGAGGAGCGGCATCCCCCAACCTGCACAGCGCTCGGCTCTGTGCTGCAGGAGCGGGGGGGAAGGGTTCAGTGCTGGGGCTGCTGAAGGAGCATTTCCCCCCTTCCTCCCCCCCCCCCCACAC